AAAACCCCAAAACCCCAAAACCCCAAAACCCCAAAACCCCTTTATTTTTGATGTAAAATAGCTAAGATGAACATCTTGGTGAGGAGATTGAGAAAAAAAAAATTTGGAAGATTTTTGGAAAATTTAGAGGATTAGGGGAAGTTTAGAGGGGATTTATGGTGATTAAAGTGTTTGTTGGAGTAAGGTCACTGGGGATTAAGAGATATAGTTAGGTCTTTGTGATATTGTAAAGAAGGGATAATGTGTGAAGTAGTAAGATTAATGGGGGATAAGGAAGGTGTTTGATGCAAGTAATGGATTAGGAGTGATGTTCAATAATCAAGAAAAATCAGCAACTTTTTTATCAAATAATTATGTATTATCATCGTTAATGCCATACCAGACTAGTTGTTATAGTTCTTAAAAATTCTAAAAATTGTAAACCTTACTTACTTCTTAAATCATTGATTAAACTTGATGAACCCTTGACCTTCATTCTTCGAGCTAAACCATTAGATCAATTAAGAAAACTATATCTGCAAAATTACATCCATCAAATTAAATCATACAAAGACCAAGAATATCGCACAAATAATCTATACTACCTATCTCTCTTTTTCATCTCAGGCAGCCTCTGGGGCACTTCCTCCTCACTGCTCTTCCTCTTCTGTAAGTACTCAGGCATCTTATTAAAACTCAAATGTCTCTCAATCTGGCTTATGTTCATAAATTCCTGTTCATCCTCAGAGTCCAGCATTCTTCTTGATCTCTCGCTCAGGTAATCCTGGCAGATGCCAGGTGGGATTGATTTGAAGCTTGGATCTATAGAGAGTTCCCAGAAGTGCTAGAGTGGACTAGGAGAAAATTTTGAAATTTTTAGGGGATATGAGTCAAAGTTTTTGGAGAAAAATGATTAGGCAGTGGGCAAGTTTGTCAAAATGTTAGATTTTGACACTTTTTGTTGAAATTTGTGAGAGAGAGTGGCTACGCATGGTTTGAATTGAAGTTGGAGCATGGTTAAAGGGGAAATATTCTAGACAGGAGTTTTGTGACTGAGATTCATTGATAGGAGTTACTGAGGATCTTTATGGAATAGGAGAAGATGTTATAGCTGAAGATCCTCTGCATCTTCAAGCAATGAACCTTAGAGACAAGAGCCTATCTAGGATATTTTGGGCTTAACCATACTACAATTTTGATCCAAAATCACTATAAAATCCATCTCCCAAATCATGGGTGTTCAACCTCTAACTAATCCCAAGAAAGGGTGAAATGTAACATTTTGAATCATCTATCTCCAATCTAATTGTACAAAAGTTTGGCAAAGTAAATTTTGAATGGCTCAAAACTCTTAATCTATTAGTTTTGGCCAATAGTCGGCTCTCTTAAGAAAAAGTGAAGAAAAATACTCTTGCGTGTGGTATCTTTGTATGAAGTCTTATTCATGGAAAGATGGGAGCTCAGGATTTTATTCTGGAAGCCATGCGAGTACATGTTGTTCATATTGTTAAGCCTGAGCAAGCTAGAGTGGTTCCGCCGAGGACTAGAGAGTTAGGGAGAGGGATACATTGAGGGAATCAGTCGTTTATTTAGGATTTTTTGGTTTTTCGATGTGCACTAAGGGGTAGTTTAGCACTTTTTGTTTGATGTCTCTGTTGATCCTTTCTGTGAATAATTCTTTTCTAATGAATGAAGAAAATATTAGAACCTTCTATTTTGTAATAATCCTTGGTTTATCATCATTTTATTTTCTGAAAGTAGCCTATATTTTCATTTTTCACTATTCATTGTCAAACTTTTAAGTTTGTCTTCAAATTTTTAACTCAGAAGGGTAAAATTAAGAGCTACCTTTAAAAACGGTTTTGGATTCACATGAGGCACCTTAAACTCCTATAAATCTCATTCTCACCATACCTCGCTTGCCAAATAACTCACTTTTCCTTGTGGTTTGACATCAGAAATCTCATCATCTACACCCAAAAGTCTCAAAACCCACTAAAATCTCCTTACACTCACCACCTCTCATCTTCCTGTCCCCCTCCCCATCCGCGACTCTACTGGGCCTAACGGTACTCTTCTCTGGCTCTACAGCACTCCATTACTCTCTTCCTACCTGACTCTTCACTCTCAGTCCATACATCATCTGTTATCTTCTTCTTAACCTTCTTCCTGTACAGTTCAGGAGTAAGCTTACCTCCTCTTCTGTTTGAAGCTAGCTTCAATTTTGGAGTGCAGGTCAGGAGCACTGAAGATGGGTTTTAGGTCTAGGGGTTAGGGAAGGAGTACTTGGAGTTACTAAATCATAGAAAGTCATCTTTTAAATTATTATTAATTTGGGGTTTTGGGGTTTTGGGGTTTTGGGGTTTTGGGG